TCTGACCCGCCCCCCCGCCGCCCCCCCGCACCTCCGGCCTCTGATAGAGAGGCAGCAACACATGGTGGCCAGGGACTCCCTGCCAATGGGCCCGGGAGCGCACTGGCTGTCGGCCCCACCCCCGGGGACCATTGAAAAATCATGTAACCAATAATATTTAATGCAGTTACACGATTATTAAATTAAATGACACCTAACATTCCTATCTCAAACTCCAGTCCTGATGCGTAATCTTCATTTTTCATTAGTTTATAATTTTTCCAAATTCTGACCGTTTGAGCTGAATTTGTACATCTTTTTTGTTTTTACATGCTACTAGATACAACCTCCCAGTTTGACAGTGAACTAGTGAATCTGCCCTTTCAGTATAGTATTTTAGTTATGCACCAACTTCATACTAATTTCACTTAGACCACAATTCTCTAGTTTGTACATGAAAATGTCTTGTAGGACTGATTTTAAAAAAAAATAGCGGGGTAGTCATGCATCTGACGAAGGGGTCTTTGCCCACAAAAGCTAATGCTCCAATAAATCTGTTAGTCTATAAGGTGCCACAGAACTCCTCGTCGCTTTTAAAAAAAAAAGTGTGTGTGCGCGCGTGCATGCGCACAGACTCATGGTCAGTAGGCCAGTAGCCCTGTCAAAGAAGGAAATTAGTTTGGGAATAATTTGTTCCTGCTATATTTTTCCCTAGCCTCATTTTTGAAAATGGTTGAACCATTTTGGTTGACATTTTTCAAAAAAAAATTCAGCCTGAGGGTGACACCCACCATCGAGAACTTCAGCTGAAATGTCTAAACCAGGGCTACTCTCAACACATGCATATGGCCCACAGTCCATTTGCTTGTGGCCCACGGGTGGGAGCCACAACAAAAAAGTAGTCAATGTAACGGTCTGCTGTTGATATGAGTTTTAGTAGTTAAATTCCTGGACTTTCATTGCTCATTAAAAGTGCTGTCATATGGGTGGAAATTGGGTTAATATTGCATTTTCTTAATATCAGCAGAACTGACTTAAACTGGCCTTGTGTGCTGTGTAGTCTTGCCTTAATCTTTGTACTGATGCCCAACAGTGTGAAACAAGCTATTTGCATATAGTTGCCGCTATTTTCATACATGCAAATATATATGCAACCACACTTAAGTTGCGGTCCTCAGCATGTGTTGAGAGTATTGTGGTCCCCAGGGTTTCCAAAGTTGAGTAGTCCTGGTCTTAAGTATAGCAAAGTTATAAGAAAATGAAAATGCTTTAATAATGAGAAATACCAGGCAGCCTTAAAAACAGGTGCTACCAGCTCTCTTTATAATGCTTTCTAATAACAATAATTTTAAGTCCTATATAAATACAAAGATAATAAAGGTACATAATTTTTCTTTCCACTCAGCATTTTTACTTACTCACACTGATACTTTTAGGTGTTGATCAGGGTTGGGATGAAGACAAATCAGTGAGAGAAGTCAATTGATCTGAATAAGCATGTTTCCTGTATTTAATTTCTAGTATATAAAATTGTGATTGTATTGTTGAACAGGATGTGTTGGTGGTGAATTGCACATCAGAATGGATGTCTTCCAATCATGTCCTGGCAACATGCCGGACTGCATTGAAGCAACAGGGTGTTTTAGGATTAAATATGGCCCCTTGCATGAGGGCTTTCTTGGAACGTTTGCCAATAATGCTTCAGGAACAGTATGCCTATGAAAAGGTAAGAATAGTTGAATACGGAACATCAAACACTGACACATGAACATGAGGTGGCAGTCTTGAATTACAGCTGTCAAACTTTTGATACAGTCAACACAAAAAAACCTTTGTTGAAAGTTAATCCCACCTTTGGACATCATATTTACAGTTATCCTTTTGCATATTCTAGAAGATTTACATTTTTTCTCATGTCAGGCTGTTTCAACCTATTTTTGTCCCCTTCCACAAGATCCTGAACTCTTGTGGCCTTACATATGTATTTCAGCTATCCTAGAAATGTTCTGCTTTAACTCACTTTGACCTCACCACTACTGCATTGTTGTATTGCTTTAACTGCAACACTCGGATAAAGCAGCCTCAAATTGATACTTCTTTAGGTTGCTTTCTCCCCCTTCCCTAC